ATAAAAAAAAGCAGAACAGAGACACATTTCACATGTACTAAAATAATTAAACATGGTATAAGCATAGACCACTTTTTGGTACCATTTGTATATATATAAGAAAAGGGAAAAGTATAACCAAGACATATCAGATACACTTTTTTTGTAGAAGAATCTATTATTTATCCCTATTCCTGATACTCCTACTTCCTTTTTTTATCATAATTGTCATGCAGTCGCCTGACTCTCACATCCCACAAATATTCTAAATGAATTCAGCAACACAAGAAAAAAAAAAAAAATGTGTTTTGTTCGAAACATTGTTTATTAGAAAAAAAAAAAAAATAGACCAGCAATAGTCTAAAAAAAAAGTCATTAGTGATTAAAAAATAAAAGAGACTACTAACCTGTTATCAGAGAAAAAAAAAAAAAAAAAAAAGTGAAGCAGAATCGCCTTTTATAATAAAGCGTTCGTTTTTTCGCTTCTTCACTTTTTCTCGCTTTTTCTCGCTTCGCTCACGTCCTTCAGGCGAGATAAGCTCGCCTCGCCTCGTTTCTTGCCTAGGCACTCAAAACACTGTTTGAGCCCATATATTTTTATCTTGGTTATAGATATAACTAGACACATTCAAGATAGGATTTCATTGAGTTTGTTATTTGTTGATGAAATTAATGTAACAGTTCTTCGTAAAGGAGCTCGTGAATCAAGAAAAATTTAAGTGGAACTTAAATTAAATGGGTGGAATGGAACTAGTATAGGTAGAAATCCAAATGAGATAATAGTAAAGATCACATATCAAATATAAAAGAGTGAACAACTTCAATAAATAGGGTAGGTTATTCAGGTGAGATTCGAGATAAATTAATTGTTGTGCATCTGCTAATGTGGTTTGTGTATATCTATTAACAGAAAAAGGGTTTTATACATGCGGTCCGGGAACGCTTTGGGTGAACACTCATCCTAACAAGTAGGGTCAATAGTTCTGCATTTAGGCTGTTACCTTTGGCAACAAAATCTTTAACCCAACAAGTGCTCTCTGAACCAAGCTAATAGTACATAAAACCAACTATGCTTAGTAGAATAAAGTGTTTAGCGAAGAAGAAACAACATGTTCAAAAACTAAGAATGGATAAAATGTACTATTAAGATGGATGTAAAGTAACTCGTGAAAAAGATAGAATCATGAATGAATATGTTTACTAAAGTATAGACTTAGCACCCTAGGAGATAAACTAAGAGAGACTCAACTAAAATAGTTTGGACATGTTTAAAGAAGACCAATAACTAGACCAGTAAAAAAGGTGATGAAATACATATTATTGGCCATGGTAGTGGTAGAGGTCAACCAAAATTATTATTGATTAAGATATTGAAAAAAATAGGATAGCGAATGGGTGGCTAGTCATCACTATGTAGATTCCTTGGCCTTCATGTGGCTGTGTAATACATGAATGTATTCTGTACTCCGTTTATGCAGGAAATTGTTTATCCTTTTTGTGACTAAGGGCAGCAATGAAGTTTTCTCATTTTTGTCTCTCTTTGCATGCAATCTTGTAAAGTTTCAAGATGCAATTGCTAGCACATCTGGCCGTGTGAAACTTATTGATTCAATGGACGGAATTACAAAAGGGATTCAACAGGTAACATTGTTCACGTTTTCTTTTTAATCTGAAAAAGTATTTGGTAGTTTACAGTGGAAACAGAATGTCATTGCTTGCTAAAAGTACAACTCCTCACCAAACCCTTCAGGGACATAAGTTTTCAGATAGAGCTGCTATGGAACTGAACAGGAAGCAGCCAACTTACGCACTCGAAACATTGTACAACTGCCAAGATTAAGAATGATGCTTGTGTACTATAATATATAATCTCACTTTGTTCTAAGTATGCTACTTTTTTAATGATTGGTGTTGATGGTCATTATTTGACTTTGGTTTGTTCTTAACGCAAAAGATCATTTGTTTAACAACATTATTGATAACTAATGTTCACTGTTCACACTATAATGAACAGTTTGTAATAGTGGACATGGTCTTCCCATATCTTCAGTGAAAAATAGGAATAGGAAAAATTGTACTAATATGGTACAATATTGGTTAATTTATTTACAACTTACATTTAATCTATCAAAAACAATGCAAAATTTATATTTTTCCTTCCGGAATAAAATTACAACACACTAGAGAAAAGGACCACTAAAACTACTGAAGATCCTCTGATTGAGTTGTTTTTCACAAAATTTCCCTTCCTATGTCTAACTTGTATCATGTGTCACCGTGGCTTCTTTTCTGCTGTTGTCTAATTTTATTTTGGTGTTTCCCTGGCTCTACAGTAAACGAATTTTTCTCGTAGTTCATGTCTTTTTTCCCAAGACCTATTATTGCTGTTTTTTCTCAGTCATGATCACTCGAACATCTCTTGTCTACATTGCGGGCATGTTGTATACAGATTCACACTTCCTTGTCTCCACTTTGACCCATCATTTTGCTCTAATTATCTAGAGTTTCCGTTGCTTAGAGATCTAATGGAGATTTAAGACCCAGTCATTGTCTCTGTACTCTCAATATTGGCCACAAAAATGTATGACAAACACTCTCGCTTTGTATCTTAAAAAAGGAAGTTTCCAATTGTTAAGTACCAGAAATTTCAGTCTCCTAATTTTTAGTGCAGGTATTTAAATCGAACTTGTCAATGTTAATATAGAAGTATGAACCAGTACTACCCTTGGAAAAGTCATTTTCTTCTTATCTGTACATTTTTCCCTTTTGGGCGGAGGATTTACATTTAACAGTAGCTGCTAGTGACATCTGGTTGGGATTCAGCGGAATTTGTCCAGATTTAAATTTGCATAGTGTTAGGATCCATTTTGATATTGGGTCTATTGGCAGTCCTAGTGACCTTTTGTGTTGTTTTTTAATATTGTTTTTTAACTTTTTGGTGTGTATTTATTGCTTCATCCATGGTACAGAAGCTGGAAAAGGCACATCTTGCACAACAAGCAGAGCTGACAGTCTGTGATGCTCTCAAGGAGAAGTATGCTGCAGCAATTTCTGAGCAAAGACGCTGCTCTTCTCTCTTAAAAGCTTTCCAGGTATGCACAGACTTTATAAACAATTCGAATCAACAACAGGACTGTAAATCTTTTCACCTATCTTTGTGAGAAATTCGATGAGATCGTGCTAAATAAATATAAACTATTCTTTGATGTTTCCTAATGTTACAGAATGCAATTAATAGACTGTTGAAACCTATTTAAGTTTCAGATCATCTTTGCTTGCAACTTGGAATATGTCAAATTTTCTTAGTTTCACCAGAATAGAGTATTGGATAGGCCTTTTTACAGAACTTCGGTCTTTTCAGGAGCATGTAAAGTTATGAGAGCAATAGTTTCAATGTTTGATGGCTACACGAATGTGGATTCTAGGAGGATAGTCCTCCCCCTACTTCTAAAACGACTAGCCTATGTCACTCTACCAGGACTGTGTATTTGAAATACAGGGAATTGGAACCAAATAAATACAGGGAAATAGGAATTTGGGGTTTCTGCTTTCTTCTGATCCCTTTTTATATGTACTAATAAACATCGAAGAAGGAAGCTAACTACAGCAACACAAGACCGCAACACAAGACCACTTATCTTTTGGAGTTGTGGAAGAGCCCTATAGGCTCAAGTCACTTGGTTTTCATATTAAATAGGGGGGGCCAACTATTTTTTTTTCCTTTTGATCCTTTTTCTTTTAACAACAATACACACGTTACTTTCTGAAATTTACTGATTAGATCTTTTGATTTCTAGGAGGAATGTGCAAAGAATGAGAGACTTAGAAGCCACACTTCGGGAATACTCGCATAACATATGAGGTTATGTGAGAAGGGTTGAAGCATCATTGGCCTGTAGGAGTTGTTGATCATTTGCCTGGTGAATTAGGGTCAAAACATAGTTGCAGAATTTGGGTTCAAGGTCTATAGATAGCTGGTAAGTGTGCTTTCTTTGCCCTTTTCACAATCTTCTTGTATTTTTATTTTTCTCCCCACTTGGGAACCTAAAAGGCTGAAGAGAAGAGAGGGAAGTTAGGAAATATCAGCTGACATTCAAGTTGAAAAATGAAAACAGTGGATTGTTGTGGGGGTCTTTTGTTTGTTTACATAGAAATCACGAGATGGGTTGGTATACAGATGGCAGATTGTTGAACATAAAACTGCATTTATGAATTGATTCATGTCGAGAGACACCGTCGCAGACGTTATGGTGGATTTCTGTTAGTATTTTTGAATATGTAGCTGCTACAAGAATTACAAGCGGGTAATTCAGAAACTGTTGGAGTGCTTCTACAAGTCACTTCCTGAATTCTTGTTCAATGCATGAGCATAGGTTTTTAACACATCTTACTAGTGTTCCTATATACATAACGCAAACAAATGTAAACGTGGAGCATTTCATAGTTATGTTTTAGGGTAAATTACATTCACGTCCCTTGAGGTTTGATCAAATGACAAGTAGAGTACTTTTTGTTTGGGAAATAACATTGACTTCCTCTGTCAGTGACGATCGTTCTATCTCCCTAACAACACCATAAAAATGACCATAATGCCCTTAATCCAAAAGATTCTTTACTTTAATTTTACAATATTTAATTGCAAATAGCCACATTGATATAATCGAATTGAAGGAAAAAATTGTTTAATTAATATAATTGAATTTATCCTAAATGAAAACGAAATTTTACTTATTCCATAAATTTTATCACAAAACTCCAACCAAATATAATCAATTTATTTATTGAAAAATATTTTTTTTCTCAAAATCAAATCTAATTAATATTATCCATAATTCGTACCAAATTTGATTAACTTTGTTAATTAAATCAAACTTATCCCAAACTCGAACTAAATCTAAATTAGTTTAATTAATTATCTCAAAATTCAAATCAATTTGTAAAATTTATTTAATTTTTTGCTAAACCTCAAATTTAGTTTGGAAATAAACTTAATTACATAATAACCTAATATTTAATCACCAAAAAAAAAAAATGCACAAGTTACCAAGGTTTAACTGCCAATATTGTGGATATGGTTGGTTTGATTGCAAGTATAAGTTAACCATAACCATGATAAATGCAATATTAGTATTTTAAAAAAATGATTTGCTTACATCAGCAAATTTTTCACACCCCTTTAACTGCAAATTGACGATTGGGAGAATTTGTTACCGACAACCGAAGCAGAGGGAACTACAGTGCCATGTGATTATTTGATCAAATCTCAAGGGAGGTAGGTGTGATTTACCCTATCTTTTAACTTCGCCCATATGGTGCTAGCACTTCCGATGTGCAGTTGCTTCGTACCTGAGGGACAGCTGAAGTGGACAAATGAGCATCAGATAAGTAGATAATTCAACTTCTACTAATCAGTCTTGGAGCGATAATAAGTGTTTATTTGCCCAAGTCATACATCAATACTTTGAGTTCGATATTTTTAAAAAGCAAATGAGCATCAAATAAGTAAAAACTTAAAAATTTTTACTAATCAAACTTAGATTGATGGCAAGTGTTCATCTACGCTCTTGGATTTTCAAGATAGAGATTTGGCTACCTATCTTTTTTATCTATCTTGGATGCCGTTATCGGAGTGTTCATCTACGCTCTTTTGAGTTTTTTCAAAATAGGGATTTGGCTAACTATCTTTTTTAGATATCATAAATAGTTCACATAAAAAAAATTATATCTATAAATACTTTAAACCCTATGAAAAGACTTTAAAAATTTTAAGGCCTCAAGTCAAGGAATATCCCATAATTTATAGTTGTATAATAATAGTTCAAACAAAAAATTTTAATTCATGCCCAAACAAAAAATTTCAACTAAAGTAAATTGGTTTATTAATTCAGCCGTGAAATTAAAAGAATTTAATTTTTTTTTTTAAAAAAAAAAAAAAAAAACTAACAGTAAAACTAAATCTAATAAAAAATCTAGTCTGCTCCACCAAAAAAATCAAATTTAAACTTATCATCATAGTTTTTTATTCATTCTTTCTCTTTAATCATCAAGTTCAAATATAGTAACAAAAGTTTGAATATAAAATTTTGAAAAATTTATTTATCGTTTCTGCTTTAGCCCAAAAATATCTCAGACCGCCCTTGCACCGCTATAGACCCCGATGACTTGTGAACTGAGTACAACTTTTTGTTTCTATCTGTGGGGGGTGATGATCATCACCTTCATGTGTTTCGAGCTGGTTCTTGTCATTTAGTTTGGCATTCACTGGCTTTTAGTTGTTAGTTTAATGTATTTCATGTGTTTGATTCTAAAGCAGAAATAATTGAAGTTCACAATCACAAGTATAGTTGCTCCCATAATCCAACTCCTTCAATCTTTTTTGTTTTTTTGTGAATACAGACCAGCTTATTTACAAGAAGAGAATCTTTCTTAGATTTCTATCACATAAAGAAATAAATAATAATAATAATAATCTCCTATTGATTTGTCTTCTTCTTCAACACTCCAACTTGGTAGAGAGGTCGGATATATAATCAGCTTCAAATAGTTAGGATAAAATTTTATTGAGTTAACGTTAAATTAAGTCGGAGATACAACGCTAAAGTTGAGAATCAACATCATGAATTAGGACGCTGATGAAAAAGGTAAGATTCAGTATCGAGTTTCTTCAACGGTGGATCTTCCATCTCATCGTGTATTAATTGGCACCCACTTTGACTTAAAAGATTTGTGGGAATGTGAGGACATTGGTGATGAATTCATGATAATGACACTATTTGATAATTAATCAAACATATTACTATTTTTCCTTTCAGATGAGGTCAGGATAAAGATGTTCACATAGAATGGGAGAAAGAAAGAAAGAAAACGATGTCTTCAATTTCAACTAATTGCTACAACTTTAACCCATTATATTGTTCGTACGGATATATAATATTTTTCTATTAGTTTGTGGCTTTTTCTTAAATGAATAGTTGTAAGTCTACTGTTTCTCGTCTCTTAAACCGTTGTATCTATTTTTGATCTAGCCCTCTTTCAGGGTCTTTAGACCCCGTTTGATGATGGTAATCTTGATTGCGAATGTGAATTGCATTCCTAAATATCTTGATTATCATGTTTGGATAGTCAACTACTCGGTAATCTAATTTAGGAATGAGATTACTATAGTAATCAAATTCTCAATACCACCCCACACACCTATCTTGATTGGGTATTCTAAGAAATAAATCTCATTTTTAAAATTAAATTAAACACTTAAATTAACGTTCTCTTCCTAAATCAATCTCTATTCTAAAATTAAGTTCATTTCTAAAATAATATTAAAAAAAATATTCACTCCTTTAATAGATTATTAATAATAATTAAACTCTAATTATGGGATTATTGTGGCAATTAAAACATGGGTATCTCATTACTAACAAGTTTAATTACAATTTGTCCCCTCCAACTATGTCTCTTGTTGCAATCAGCTCCCTGCGGTTTCAAATGCTACAAATGTATGCTCTTCAAGTTTCATGTGGATTAAATTAACTAACACCAGTAGCTCAACAAATTAAAGAACCATTACATCCTCCATTTTATACATTATTTCTCGTATTTTTTTCTTCAGATTCCAATTTTTGTTCCTAAAAAAATAAGAAAACAGAAAAGTCAAGACTAAAAATTAAGTAAACCATTACTATTGCCTCCGCCTCATCATAATGAAGGGAGTGTTTCTACCGAAAGGAGAAAGGAAATGAGATTTAACCATCAAAGATAGGGGATGATGGAAGGATATAAGTGTAAGAGGGAATATGGATGTTTGATACTGGGAAAAAAATAGGTGCAAGTATAATTATCTCTTTTTAACTTTTACCAATTTTTATTATCTAAAAATAACGATTGGAGTTAATTGCAAAAATATTCAAATTTAAAAGGGACTATTTGTTAAAATTAAAATCTGAAAGAGTAAATTACAAACTATCCAAAGTTGAATGAGACATTTCGTAATTAGCCCTTACTAATAATAAGATACTCATTGTCACCCAAACACCACCATAAAATTCTCATCTTTTGATTCTAAATATGTTGGCAGCTGTTTCAAAGTTTTTTTTTTTTTTAATTTTTTTTATCATAAAATATATGTTTCTCAGCATTGTGGTTTCAAGATTCTTTCAGTATTTTAGAAAATATGCACTAGGTTAATTTGTCATACTAGATTATTTATATTCTTTAGGTACACTTCTTTTTAAGGTTCTTTGTGACAATGCTAACGTAGTTTTGGACTTATTATACGTGTTTTTGATGTAAATTAAAGAAGATATCTCAATTACCCATATGGTGACAAGTCGGGTGGCCCCCATCATGAGATTGAATTTAAACTCGTGATATATTACGCAGTGAATGAACGTTTGTCGTTATTTTAAGTTTAAAATTTCGTAACCTTGCTATATTTTAAAGTCTTGGGTGACCGACCTATAACAATAATAATAATTCAGAAAACGATTGGTGGGTCTTTGTTAAACCAAAAGATGAAAAGATTAGTGATGCATTTGTGATAATGACGTGATTAAATAAGAAAAAAAAATGGATAATTGTGCATTTACCCATGCTTATTCAATTGGCCCTGATTCCATGCCAGATAAAACCATCACACTCTAGGACAGTGAACATTATTTAATTAGTTTATACCTTGTAATATGTACCACATATTACATATATAATTCAACTTTTTTTAATCAACAAGTAGTGTGATATACATCTAGAGATAACTCTTGTGCGGGGGCGGCTCAACAGTATTAAAAAAAGTTTAAAGTTATTAAATTTTAAACCCTCAAAAAAAGTCCCAAAAAATTAAATACAATCAAAATTTTTATTGTAATAATCTGGGTTCATGATCTAATTCATTAAAATCATAAGTTGAAAAAATAAAAATTACTCAAAAGTCAACTCATATTTACTCTTACCCACTCTATTTCTGTGTAAAAATAAGTAAAAAATATATAAAAAAAAAATTTAAAATTAAACTCTCTCCGGTAAAAAACAAAAACAAAACAAAAAATTAAAACATTTTTTTGACAACACTAGCATGTCATTTTTCTGTTCCCTCTCACATAATAAATTAAAAATAAATTAATTTTTTTAAAAAATAATATTAAAAATAAAAAAAGGCCTCATTTGGTGTTATCGCTTTGAGCCTCAAATTGCCTTGAGCCACACCCCTAACTCTGTGATTAAAAATATTATACAATACTAAAAATCGATCATTAAAATTATAATATTTATACTCTAAATAACAATTTTTTTTTTTTAACTACACAATCGAAAATTTAAATAAAAAGAGAGAAATAAGAGAGGTAAGGGTTGATTGAACAGTTATTACGTTTTTGTAAGTTGAGAATTCAACCATAATATTAAATAGGTAATTAGGGGCGAAGTTAACTTAGGACCAACTGAGCCATGACCATTCCCCCCCCCCCCCCCCCCCCCCGGGGGGGAGAGCGGCGCGGCTACTTCCTCAAGGAAAAAAGTTTCAAAAATTGCATTATAACCCATTAAACTTTGTTTAATGTTTAAGATATCATGTAGTTAGTCCCCCTCAAAATGTTTATTTTTAAAATGTGATTCCCCTGTAATTTTAAACTTCCCAGCCCATCCCTTGTTATACCGAACCTTGTGTTTGAACTCAATTTTCTCTCTCTGGTCTTGTGTTTAGGCCTCTCAATTATGTCGGATGAAGAGGGTTCATGTCGAGTTTTAATGGATTTATGTCAAAAAATACTTCACTCATACCAAATTCGTTTATTAATTCACATCTAACGATTCGTGTCATAACGGATTCGTATCGTATATAAACCGTATATAATTAGTATATAAACGAGTCGTATCGTGAATTTTTTTTAATTAACTTTATCCATACTTATTTATTTATTAATCGTGTCATATCAAATTCACTTATTTATTAAACAAGTGACTTAAGAAAGATTCAAATCTTCTAATTTTGTGTTGTATTCATATTGTGTTAATATGTCGTATCATATTTTGACACCGTTACTTGTGTTATTAGGTTCAAACTTCAGAAGATCCGATCACAAGAGAGAGAGAGAGAGAGAGAGAGAGAGAGAAAAGTAAGTTAGCTTGATGTTAGGATCATATCATTGTCATTGTTTCTTAAAAATGTATAGTCATCTCTATCAGCATCATCATTAAATAGTTTCGAGCAACATCTCTATTATCATCCAAATACGTAGAATCAAACAAAATGGTCCCACTCAACATGTTTTTTTTTCCTCTCTTATTTTTTTTACTTCCAAATACATATTAGTAAGTCTCTAATGAATAGTCTATAGTCTATTGGTAAGACATATAGATTTGGGATGGTCGAAGTCAATAAAAACCTATTGATGACAAAATTGTAAAAGCGAATTAAATGCACATTTGGACAGTGAATTCGATTACTAAATTAAGACATATATCTTAATAGACATGTGTTTGTGTGTGTAAGATGTATAACCCAAGAATAAAAACGTGATCTTAAGTTAGTGTTCTGATTTAAATGATATGCATGGTTAGTCAATGTTTACGTCCATTTGGAGTTCACACTGTAGGCAGGAATGCAAAATATCAATTTTAAACGACTCAAAAATTTGTACTAAATACAAAAAACTCTCGTCTATAGCTCGGTTTGTAAGAGTTAAATAGTAGACATTCTTGACACCCGTCATTTTGGATTAACAACAAATTCTAATGTTTAATAGGGCCTATAGTCAATCTAAAAGTCATAATAAATTAAGTCAGAAAATTAGGTCTCAATAGCATTGTTCTTTCCTTAAACACTAAGAGTAATATTATTTGGACCTAAAAATCTGAACTAATTTGTTGACATAATGATGTGGCTGAATATGAATCATTGGATCACCACCAAGTTCCAATGTTTGATGGGGCCTACAGTCAATCCAAAGGTTACAGTGAATTAAGTCAGCAAATTAGGTCAAATTTTTAGGTTCCAATAGCATTACTCAATCACTAATGCTATTGAGACATAATTTATGGACATAATTTGGGGACATAATGAGTTGTCACCAATGATATGATAATGAATTGTATTTAATGATGGGTCTCATTGTAGCATTAAATGACATTATCATTTCATTAGTGACAATTCATTATGTCCCCAAATTATGTCACAATAGCATTGTTCTTCCTTAAATATGTAACCGGCGTTAATAAATGGGACAATGTGAAACTAATCACATAGTTGAGGGTGTAATGTAAAAACTATTATAGTTGAGAGCGTAAAATAAAAAAAAAAGGTCATAGTTGAGGGAGTCAAAGTATAATTTTCCCTTAACTAAAATTTCACAGTAAAATTTTGAAGTGTCTAATAATAATGGGGGTCATGATAATGAACTCTCCAGCACCAAACTGTTTATCATCTAAACTCAAAGACTAACTAAATTCTAATAAGTGAAAGTGCCTTTTCAAGATGCTTGGCCTTAACACTTACATACTGTTTCACTGTCAAAGAACGATAACATGGAGCCTGAAGTTTAGGCAATATTGGCACAAGTTCAGACTCAGCAGGGGGGCCATAGAAGTAGGCGATGGACACTCGGTGGCAGGCCTGATTCGCCACGACACGATGATAAGCAGTCAAAAATCGAGCATTCGAGACGATATGGAGGAGATCACCAACATTGACAACAAGTGCACCAGCAATTGGAGACACTGAAACCCATCCAAGTACTCCATCTTTGAAGACTTGGAGGCCATTGCTGTCGCTTTGGTGGACGATGGTGAGCAGCAATGTGTCGGTGTGAGGGGCGAGCCCGAGGACCCGGTCCGGGTCTGGGCAGCAAGGGTACGAGTTAAGCTGCAGTGCAGCTTCGGAGTGTTGGAGTGAAGCTGCCCAGGTTACATCTTTTTCTTGTATGTCCAATGATTTGAGAACTAACAGCCAGAGTTGGTAGGCTAGAGCTTTCATCTTTTTCTGATATTCCACCATTGTGTCACTATGTGCATGGAAAGAAACAAAGATAAGGCTATGCATGAGTAAACACTAAAGAGTTATAGTATAGAGTGATGTTTTGAATCAATTAACTTTTTTAATAACGGAAAATCGCCTCAATTATGCGTATGCAATGCAAATCTTGGTTACATTTAAGTTCCCACAAACTATAAAGGACAGATAGAGTATGTTTTGTTAGACTTCTATACCATTTTTCTTTTCAAAACTTTGCTGAATTTTGCTACTTAATTGATTCTACAAAACATATATAGTAGCATTTTTTATTTTCTGAATCTTCAAAGTGTTCAAAAAGGTCAACAAAGCAAAATATTTGTAAAAAAATACCCAAAATATTTCAAGAATATTGTCCTCTTCAAATGAATTCGGGTTTCTCTAACCACATAAAATTCAGATTTAATCAATGCATATAATTTGCTACTGATTGCATGTTTATGATATTTACGTTACAATCATAAATCCAAATAATGCAAAACATATGGTAGGGACGAACACCCGTTACTAAAAAACCATATATATGCACATGGGTATTTGTATGTGCCCTTCATGATGGAATAGCCTTCAATGCATTTGGTTAGTAGACACGTGCATGAAAGAGCATGGACTTACCAAAAACGTTTATAGTTACGAGGCCAAAGTTCCTTAGCATGATCAACACAAGAACCCATGATGGTGAACCCTTCATGCCACATATTCTTAGAGAAAAAAGGTGTTATCCGAGCAGTACCATAGCCGGTGGCGCCACCAGGAGAACGCAACGCCTTCATCTTCTGCCGAGCAGGAAGCTCAAAAAGCCGCCGAGCTTCCGCCTCAACCTCCTCCAAAAGACTCAAACAAACACCATGGCCAATGACTTGGAACATACCCCACGTCTCACACGCATGTCCAATATGTTCCACAACATTAGGATCCATCAGATCAATAACTGGTATCGATAATTCTCCGTTCGACCAGCCGGAATGTTGGAAATCATTGGTTTCAGGCCAAATGTGGGATTCAGGCACTGTATGGGCAGATTCAAAGTCTAGGGGGATAATGTGTTGAGGGTGGAGAGGGTTATCTCTGTAGACTTCTGAGAGAGTACTCATAGTACTAGGGCGTTCTTAATTGACTTGAGGGTTACGATGTTTAGAGCATTATGTGGCCTTTAATACATACACTTATATATATATATATATATATAGAGTAGCGCCTTCATGGAATCTATGCACTCTAGTTTCTGGTGAATACTTTTAATTTTAACCATTAGATCATGGTCTAACAGTTGTTAACCAAGTATGGTCAACATTAAACGCAAGAACCTACCAAAAGTAATCTCTTTTATCAAAAAGAAAATCTCAATGGGAAACTTATTAGTTGAGTCAAATTAACACACGAACCGGTTAGTACCCACGTCTCACATACGAGTCTTTATGCTTTAGTTCTACCAATTTTTTCACCGGTCAAATTGAATCCTTATTTTTTGTACTCACATATACCATGATGGATGGTCATGACCAGAATAATCTTATTTGGCATCCATTTATACATGTAGAACCCTTTGGGCCTTAACATCAATGCAATAAAAGACAATCTCGAGTTCATTCACACTTTCTCCTCAACTCATTCTTTTTTAATTAACATTTCCTATGAAATTTTATGCTTGAAAGATCATCATATAGGACGTAAATTAAAAATTTTAACGTAATTCATAATAAACAAATTTATTTGAAGGTGTAAAATAAAACATATCTTCCGTAGTCCTATCTAGGCTTCTAGAGATACTGGCAAGGCCATTGGGTCAAATTAATAAGACTCCAATATATATATATATATATATATATATATATATATATATATATATATATATATATATATATGTATATATAAAATATGGGTGATGAAGGTGGCATTAGGTTCAATTTGCATGTGGCAGTGGGTGGCTATTTGGAAGGAGTGTTGTCTTTATGTGAATTTGGAAGGTTTTGGGGCCTTTTTGTGGTGGTTGAAAAAGACAAAAGTAGGAGTAAAATATAATAATAATAATATGGGCCCCCAAAAAGAATTGGCCTAATTTGGACCTAAATGATAGGCATGAATTTTGACTCAAATCATTCACACCCTTTTATTCTGCAGCCAAAAACGCCATCACATGGTACCAAAAAAATATATTTTTTTTGATGTTATACTTTTGTTTTAAAATAATTGCAGTATAACATAAATAAATATTTATTTTTTATTACTTTATCTTATTTTATTTTTAAGATTAATGACTATAAATAATTGAAACTGAAAACTTCGAGTATAGCAACTTGAGTTGGGCAACTCGAGCCAAACCCGAAAAAATTAGCACTTGGGCAAGGGTTTTTAATACTTAGATTGGGCTTGGGTCAAAAAATTCCAACTTAAATTCAATTTGGGTTGGGCTCGGGTTCAGGCCTCGTAAACCCGAGTTCAACCCGAACCTGACAAATTAAAAAAAAATTATATTATATATATATAAAGTATTAGCACTGATTTTTCATTTTTGTTTTATCGTTTTCTGTCTCTCTCGTTCTCTCAGCCTCTCTTATTAAAAACTTGGTTGAAGTTATTGGTTATTAATTTAGGTGAATATTATACAATATATGTATTAAGTTTAGAACAATAAGCTTATTTTGGGCTCTACCCGAATTGAACTCGGAAATCAGCCTGAAATCATAAACCCAAATTGAACCCGAGTCCGCCCGAATTAAACTCGGGCAGTGCTCGGGTTGAGTTTTTCAACTCGAAATAGAGTTAGGGTTAAGGTTGAAGATTATATACCTATGATTGGACTAGAATTAATTGTTCAACCCGCCCGAGTTGCACCCCTATATAGACTTAGTTTTTAGTACCATAGAAGTGTATGGAATGATGTTATTGAGGACGTCACAAACAAATAATAAAATAAAGTAGAAACAACATAATACACGAAATGATTTAATTCCATTGAAAGTATATGTCTATAATATGGACAAAGTGTTACAGGAAAAAGAATAATGAAGGATAAAAGAGTTCTCAGAAACGATAGAAAAAGAAAAATTTCAGGCCTGTTTGGTTTGATTTTTAAAAATAATTTTTTGTTCTCAAAATCTCAAAAACCCTTAAAACCCATTTGGTTAGCATCTTTGTTCTCAAAGAAATAGTAAATAAGTCTGACTTGTTTTTTGAGTTTTATTTGAAAATTGTGAAAAAATAGAAAACACAAGAACCCTTTACTATGCACTTAATGTACCACTATAAAAGCATTTTTTTTTATTGCATTCTTTTTCCCTTACCTCTCTCTCTCTCTTTTGTCAACACCATGGATTTGTCTTCGACCCATAGATCCGGTGACCGGAAGCACAGATCCAGTGGAAGGCGCCCCCGCGAACACCTGAGATCCCACCATCGAATAGTTGCCATCTTCAGACCAACAGCTTCAACGTCTCTCTCTCTATCTCGCTCTCTTTCTTTCTCTCTTTTGCCGGGACCATAGATCTGTCTTCAACCCATAAATCCGACAACTGAAAGGCACAGATCCGATGGAAGACGCAACTCCAGTGAACGTTTGAGATCTCTCCATCAAATCAACACTTTCTCCTTCTTCAAACCAACAGCTCCGACGTCTCTCTCTCTCTCTCTAAGCATCTATACAAATCTAACCAAATCTATACATGATTTATAGATATGATTTTTCCAGATCTGTAAAACCATAATTAATTTTTAATAAAATTCCAGATCTCTCTCTCTTTCTCTAAGCACCGGTAAACATAATTTATAATAAAATTCACAAATCTGGGTGTAATATGATTGAAGTTAGGTATAATGTAATGATCATTTGAAATTATTTCGATGGTGTTTGTGTTTTTGGGTATAATATGTTTATTTTGATCATTGGAATCAAATTTTTCTTTAGGAAATCATTTATTTTTGGGTTATTATTTTTTGGATTACATTCGAAACAGGTTTTATTGTTTTCTATTCTATACAACTGTTTTTGAAATTACATAACCAAACAAAAAATACAAAAATAATTTTTTCAAAACTCTTCCCAAAAATAATTTTTAAATACTATTTTTTGAAATACAAACCAAACAGGCAATTCCTATTCTATCACATATTTAAATACCCATAACACTCAAAAAAAACCTTATTTCCAAATTGAATTGGATTTTTAGAAACCCTAGTTTCCTAATTTTAATAGTGAAAATTAGGATTGAATCCTCCTTAAGGTATGTTCAACAAAAAAAAATTTCTTAAGGAACTTATAATGAGTTTAGTCCACCAAAGAAACATATTTGGGGATAAGTTCATTTTTAATCTTACTAATAAGTAGTTAGGTCCACTATTTTTTTAGAACTCCAAAATGCCCTTCTAATGACTTAAAAATCAATCTTCAACATTAAATCAGTTTCCTAAATAGTCATATTTGATTCACACTTAATAGAAGATTTTTTCATAAAATCTAAAATTTAAATTTAAATTTTACATCACTACAATTTCTCTCTCCTTTCTCTTTCTCTCTTGTTTTTTTTGTTGAGAAGACTATTGTTAATTTAATATTGAATGTTACTATGCATGTTACTATTTTTTTAATAAATATGTTACTATTTTTTTAATTGTTACTATTTTTTCAAAATATCAATATTCAATGTTAATATTTTTTATTTTTGAATGTTAATTTTTTTTGTGTTTAAGTGGTACTATTTTTTTGTGTTTGAATGTTACTATTTTTTATTTTTAATGTTACTATATATATAAGAAAAAGAGAATTTTAATATTAGTCAAACTTCTAAAATTTAAGAGTTGTTAGTTTTCAAATTTGTTGTAATTAAATAAAATTAATTAGTGTATTTTGGATAATAGAGATCAAAATAGATTTAATATTAAATAAGTTTCCTTGATATACTTATTACCAAATAAGTCCACAAAGGAAAATCGACCTCCAAATTTTCCATTAAACAAAATATTTTGTGTAAATATATACATTGAAGTAGAAGAAGAACACCAGACGTTGTAGAAAAAAACACCTGACGTTGAAGTATAACACCAGCAGTTGAAATAGAAGAAGAACATATACGTTTAAAATTCAAATATCTTGATCCCACAAAAAAATAGAATTATCAAACTAGACAGTCCATGAATTATGAAAAAAAAAAAAGTATTTTAGTGAAAGAAATATTTAAAAAATTGTCAATGTGTATCTAGACATAAGAAATTTTCAATTAGGAGTATTCATCTATAATAGAGTTATTTGCACATTTGACTAATGAGGTCTCTAACCCTAACATCAATTTAATCCTCACGTGTCCTTAACATGTTATTTTTTGTCACTTTTTGAGACGGAAATTCGGGATAGGGATCAAATTAGTCAAATGTGTAATTAAACATCGAGGACTAAATTTACAAAACTAAAATATTAGGGATCAAAGTTCAACAAGTGACAATTCTCAGACATTAATGATGCAATTTATCTTCTTTTTTTTTTTTTATTAAGATTCCTTATTCTCAAATTGGATTGGATTGAATTAGATTTTCAGAAACTTCCTAATCCCAATATATCTTCGAAAATAATATATTTCTAATTATGCCTAAGATTCCAAAAAAAACGTGGGTTACCCAGACCCGTCCAAGCCAATGGTACACTCAAAAAAAAATCTAATTAAGATCCAACGGGTATTATTTGGCATTAGGTAGCATATTCACAGCAGACTACAGTTACGAACAAAAAATTTCGGTACTAAATCGTCAAATTTATTTTATAAGTTTTATGGGTTGAGATACAAGTTTTTAGATTTGTTTACGATAAAATTTTTTTACACCTCTTGAGATCATATTTTAACGTTTGTGAGTCATTTACAACTTTTATTTGGTATGAATTTATCATCGTTTGTCAAGAAATAACCAACATTATGGGTGATTTTATCTTTATTTGTCGTAAAATTAACACCATTTGAAGTGATGATAAAACTATTTAGGATGAATTTGCCACCATTTGAGTTGGTGATATAATTATCTAGGATAAATTTACCACCACTTGAGGTGTTTTGGGTGATGATACAAATATTTGGAGATAATCTATATAATAAAATACAAGATAATTCAA